GAGAACACGTAGCAGCGAAGTAGGCGGATCCTTAATGCCAATTTTAGGTCTCTGTTACATAACACCTTGGACATCCTTCTAAAAGCAGCTCTGGCCTGCTCTATTCTGGATCTAATTTCGCCGTGATTTTCTGCATTACAATTTAATTGCTGTCCAAGGTAGACGATTTTATCAACTTGCTCAAGTTTGATATTATTTACATATATAGACGGTTTTATATTCTATTGTTTACTTATTACGAGTATTTTGGTTTTCCTTATGTTAAGATCCAGACCTGCCTCCCTACAACTCTCAACGACACTATCAAGTAGTGTTTGCAGATCTTCTTGACTAGAAGCTAGGAGTACTGTATCGTCCGCATATCGCAAATTATTGATGACTTCGCCGTTCACAAGTATTCCTTCTTGTTTTTCAGAAAGTGCTTTTCTGAAAATTCTTTCGGAGTAAACGTTAAAAAGCAGGGGTGACAAGAGGCATCCCTGCCGTACTCCTCTTTTAATATTGAGAGCTTGTGATTCCACACCATCTACTAAAACTGATGTTGTTTGATTCCAATATAAATTTGCAATTATTCGAACATCTCTACCGTCCAAGCCAATGTCTTTTAGAGCTTCGATCAATATAGAGTGCTTAACACGATCAAATGCCTTTTGAAAGTCAATAAAACAACAGCATATGTCTACAGATATATCATGACATCTTTGAGCAAGTACGTTCATTCGAAACAGTGCCTCTTTCGTTCCAAATCCGTTACGGAAACCAAACTGAGTGTCATTCAGGTATTCCTCACATTTATTGTAGATACGACCATGTATTACCTTCAGAAAAATTTTCAATAAGTGGTTTAACAAACTGATGGTTCTATAATCAGCCCAGGAAGACCACATTAAGAAAATCATAGAGGAGAACAAAAGTTTAAAAACAATGAAGACAAATATAGGAAAAAGAAAACTGATCATGCTTAAAGCTGAGAACAATGAAGAACGAGATCTAGGAGAAATTGTAAAAATCACAGAAAGATATTACACAGACCTATACAGTTTTAAAAATGTTCCACCACTATCATCTCAACAGAATCTCTCGAGGAAAATACAAAATGGGTATTATCTCAGAGGTATTACCAGAAATAACTGAAGATGAAATCGAAAAATCCATAAACGACATGAAAAGAAATAAAGCGGCGGGTGAGGACAAAATACTGGCGGAACTGCTAAAAGAAGGAGGAGACACGATAAAAAAAATGCTCAAAATACTGTTCAACAAATGTCTGTTTGAAGGTAAAAAACCTAAACAATGGAGAAATGCCAACACAATCTTAATACATAAGAAACGAGACCGAACAGACCTAAACAACTAACGTCCTATTTGTCTTTTGTCACAACTATATAAAACCTTTACAAGAATAATAAACAACCGACTAACCTATAAACTTGATAACTACCAACCAGTGGAACAGGCCGGATTCAGGAAAGGATACAGCACAATCGACCATCTACATTCGCTTAAAATCTTAATTGAGAAAACCAATGAATACAACCTTCCGCTGTACTTAGCATTCGTAGATTATAAAAAGGCTTTCGACAGCATTGAACACCGGGCCGGTTGAAGAAGCTCTGGTCAATAGTAGCATGGATTCAAGATACCGACAATTGATACATGATATTTACCAAAATGCAACCATGACCGTTATTCTGGACGACAAATTAATAACGGATAATATAAAAGTAAAATGAGGAGTCCGATAAGGCGATATAATTTCACCTAAACTGTTTACCTTGACCCTCGAAGATATAATAAAATCAACAGATTAGGAAAACAGAGGAATATGTATTAACGGAAAGTGCCTAAATCACCTTAGATATGCGGATAATATACTCCTGATCTCCTCGGAACGACAAGAACTGGAATTAATGTTGATTGAACTTCATGAAAAATCACTGCAAAAATGCCTAAAAATTAACTTCAACAAAACAAAAGTAATGACAAACACGGAAGACCAAGAGGCACTAAAAATACAAACAGAAAAAATAGAACAGGTAAATGAGTATATCTATCTAGGACAAGCAATCAGAGCTAACAGAGAAAATCAAACAGCCGAAATATCGAGACGAGTAAGAATGGGATATGCAGCGTTCGGCAAACTTTCTTACGTTCTAAAAAATCAAACAATCCCTCTATACTAACGAAGCAAGGTATATAACTCCTGTATAATACCGGTGCTCACCTACGGAGCACAGACATGGACATTTACACAGGCCAATTTGGATAGGATAAGGAAGGCACAAAGAGCGATGGAGAAACAAATGTTGGTTATATCACGTAAAGATAGAAAACGTAACCAGTGGATCAGGACCAGAATAAAGACAGTAGACGCGATAGAACAAGCAGCAAATCTGAAATGGAAATGGGCTGGACACAATGAACGTCTCCAAGACGGACGATGGAATAATGCCATCGGAAAGTGGCGTCCATACAATGCAAAGAGATCAAGAGGCAGACCACAGGTGAAGTGGAAAGATGACATTAGGAAACAAGGAGGTCCCACATGGCAGAGAACAGCTCAAGATATCGAAAGATGGAGAGAACTGGGGGAGACCTATATCCAACAATGGAAGGATAGAGAATAGGTTCAAAAAAAATATCTTTATTTTAGAAAATTTACACACAGCATAAATATTTTCATAACAGTTTTGAAAAATATAAACATTTTGTAAAACCCTATAGTTTGTTATACAGTTTACAATTATTGAAAAAGTTTATTGAATCTCCAATGTCTCCAATAGAAGACATCATTACTGATGTCTTCTATTGGAGTTTCTTTCAGATTGTGTGTTATTTTTGTTATCGATCATGCTTTTGAATACACTGGACAGTCTATCATTATATATGTTGCACTGAAAATGGTATTTGACAGCTGTGGCAAATCGGCTGAGGGTCCTTGGAGATGATGTATCTATGTGTAAATTTTGTATGACCTAGCCGAAGTCTGTTAAGGTCTACTTGGTCATGTCTTTGAGCTAGGAGCGGCAGTAAAGCAGAATTAACATCTGGTTTGACAATTTTAAGTTTTGCTTCTATTTGGGTTCATTTACTTGTCAACTTTTGTTAATGTTGGTTTTTATAAATGTTTTTTGGTCTAAAAATGGTGTGTTTTGCATTATAGGAATTGTCATGTTATTGAAAGTTTCTGTTGCTGCTTTATCACCTGCTTCATTACCCCTTATCCCAACATGGGATGATACCCACAAAAATGTTATTATTTTGCCGCGTATTTGGACATTGTATTGCATTCTTTTATTTCTGTTTAATTAGCATAAGTATTATACATCTGTTTGACACCATTGCACTTAGAGAATCTGATATAATAAGAAAATTTATATTTATTTGTCTCCCTAAAAAGAAAAACGCAAGAGAATGCAGCGATTACCGCACCATTAGCTTGATGACTCATATGCTAAAGTTACTACTTAAGTCTTAAAGTACTTAAAGTCATCCATAACCGCATATATCACAAACTGGACATAGACATTAATGATACACAATTTGGTTTTCGCAAAGGCCTAGGAACGCGTAAAGCTTCTTTTTCACTGAATATACTGATACAAAGACGCCTGGACGTCAATCAAGATATATACGCATGTTTTATTGACTATAATAAAGCATTAGATAAGGTAAGACATAAACAATTAATGAATGTCCTGAAATCAAAGAAAATTGACTACAACGATCTCAGGATAATATCAAATTTATACAATAAACAGCGAGCAAAAGTACGTGTTAACGAACAGCTGTCAGAAGAAAACAAAATTAGATATGGAGTGAGACAGGGATGCGTATTGTCGCCAATTATTTTTAATGCTTACTCCGAATAGATCCTGAAAAATGCTCTTGAGGGTGAAACAGCTGGAATAAGGCTGTTTTGAGAATCAGCAGAATTGGCTGATAAAAAGAAAGAAATACCCAATTGCAAGACCGAATTTCGTCATTTTCTTTAATTTTCATTTAGAAACGCTTTTTAAATCGATTGGCAAAACCCTCTGTCTACGATTTTGTTACTAACATTTTTGCAAATAAAGGAAATCGCCGAATTAAATAATTAAAATATAAACGATACTTTTCAAAATAAGTTTTTTTTCCTAATGCAAAATTTGCTTGCACGAAATGGCCTCTGACTGTTTTCAATATTTTGTAAAAGAAATACTTTCCTTGTTTAAGAAGTCAAATTTAGTTTGGTTATGTTATTGTTTGTCCCAACTGTCACATGAAATTTTATTTATATTGAAGTTTTTTACCAATTATGTCACTTTTTAGACTATTATCGTTAATATTTAATTAAAACTTTCTAGTCTGAAAAATATTTTATAGCTATTGTTAACAAATGTTGGAAAATTTAAATTTAGCGCCTTTGCATTTCCGGATGTGTCCGCCATCAGAGGCCACTTTTTTGGTCTCCTTTTTATAACGATTAGATTCCCTCTTTTGTCTTATTGCTCGATGGTTTTATGCCTTATTCGATGTTTTTTTTTTATTCTGTGAATAATCAGTTCAATTATGCCTAAGGGTGTGATTATAATAAAATTCAAACACAAAACTGCTAATATCCTGGTGCTGCCATCTACCACAAGAATTTTTATCATGCCGTTTTTTATTAAGCTTTTTACATCACAGCCACATCTGTTCTGCTCTAGTTCGGCTTTTACATCATAGGTGGCGCAACGTGCAGTAACTAACTTGCGGGTCGAGATCAATAATTCCGTTGCAGACCTAGAATATAGCCAACTCGTTTTAAAGGGCTTATTTAAGTAAATTCTGTGTCTGTTCTTATTTAAAATATTTCAGTTAACGTAAGATATACTTTAACGTAAAGAAAATTAACTAATCTATTAATCTGTGTATTATACACTTTTAAAAAAATACAAAACCAGTGTTTGTAAATGGTGTTACGCCATTGATCCTGAAATGGATCTGTAACCTAGTCACGTGGTCTCTTAGCGACCAATAAGACAGGTTTAAGCATTAAATTACAACAGTTCGTAAGAAAACGTCAAAGTAACAATTTGTTAAAGACTAGTGTTTGTGTTACTTATTGTTGTTGTTAAAATAAATAGCGGTGAAATTAATAAGGTAAGTAAACACCACTATATTTTAATCGGGAGACGATAACCATATATTCTATTGCACTTAAAATTAGGGTGTTGTCAATTTATTAGTATTAAGTGAAAAATCAATATCAAGACTCTTTAACTTAAAGATACCCAAGAGGTATGCGATTCAGATCTTATAATTTACTAATCATTTAAATAACTGCCTCGATTATTGCAGTTATATTTATTTCAAACAATATAACAAACATTGATTAAAAATATATACTTCGATCGTTAATAATTATTACGAAATTAAAATGTTAAAACATTAATTTAGCATGTCGTGATTGTTGTATTCTTATTTATTGTTAGCATTTGTGCTTTTTGCTTTACATGCATGTTTCTGTAAATTGGGTCTAGTTTTATGTAACATTTAATGTCAAAGGGGAGGGTTGTACATCAATGAGAAAATCTGAATTCGGATCATTTGTTAGGAGTCAAGGTTTTATCTAAAAAAATCAATATAACAAAATTATTAGTTCTTTGAAATGAGAATAAATTAGCATTTAATTAAAGACAGCTTGGAGAAAAAGTTTGGAATAAAATTTTATATCAATAATGAAATTAGAGGAATTATATGGAAGGACCATATATTTTAATCATATAAGTTATGAGTTATTTATGAAGGAATCCTTACAGAAATTTATTTAATGCAACAAATTACAATCTTTACGAAATTATAATTGAAATAAATAATATTTGATATAGTTATTCTATAAATTAGTGTTTTAATCATGACAATTATCATGGAGATGTTCTATTTTTTTCCAGTTAGCGAACTGTGAATGTTTCCATTTTATTAACTGATTAAATTTGATTCACTAGTTAAATTAGCCACTTTTCATGCAATATCATTATTAAACCTATTATGTTTCATTTTTATACATACATTTTTTCAGTTGAAATATACTCTGACCTTCTTTTCTAATTACATGGTGATTTTTTTGGGGTGTGACCTTTCTTCTATTCCCGTTTTTTGCGTATTCCTTTGTGACGAATCTGACTATTGCAGTTTTTGATTATTTGAGATTTCACAGCTATTATATCCAACAATGTTCCTCTCATCTTCTGCAGTTGTCATTTTCTGAATGACCGATTGTCGAATACAATGTGAAGCAACGGAACAATTGAATTATTATAGAAACGGCTTACGCTATAATTATGGAATTGCTTTTATAGGGTTTCCGTAATATAGCCGATATTCAAATGATATATATCTGCGTTATTATATATCCCGTGTTCCGATAGTACCTTTTTGTTTCTTATTCACCCTTTGGCGATTGTCTGTTAAGAGCGGATGCGCAAAATTTCGGGCCAATGCTTTTTAAATGCATTTCTTCCTCAAAACTTTCATTTTCAATTTCAATATCTTCATCCTCGATCTGTAAATTTAATGTTTCTTCTCTTTCATCTGTAGCTTTATCTTGTGCCTTTAGAAAATCTAAGGAATCCATCAACTCCATATCCATCTCGTTCAACTTCTTACAATATTTTACTGTGTTCAATATTTTTACATGTCTGACCATTGCAGTGAAGACAATAGTCAGAACATTTGAGACCATGTTTGATACAACTTCATGTTTTTTACATTTGCAACTAATATTTCTGAATAGTGAGTCAGGTAGTAATACCTGCTCAGTTTGTATTGGCTCCAGACCATTTTGAGTTAGTTCATACCCCTACTCAGTAGCATTCAAGTTATTTCCAAGCCACTGCTGTACTTGGAAATATACACGAAGTGTATATCCCTCTATCACTTATGGTTACACGGTAAATGTATGCCAACTTTGACCTTCAATATATCGGCAACCAGTAAGCCGAATGTATCTTTTTTTTTTAAGAAGCGTCTTTTATGGTAAAGTGATTCAAGTTGTTTATAAGCCTAAAAATGTTTCTTTAAAAAATATTTTAGGCTCTTCTAGTGAACCGATTTGAATTTTACAAAAAGCGTTTGAAAGTTTGAGCCTTCCTTTATATGTAAAAAATTTGCAACTATCTGAGGGCCTTGTTTAGTTTTTCTGCTAGGAATATGGAGCTTGTAAGTCAAGTTTAGAAAGTCGAAAACATTTAGACTTTCACGTAAGAAGTGATAAGATAAGAATGATTATCAAGATAAGAATAATATTCTCTTTTAATTAATATATGTACAGTTGCGGTCACGGAATAGTTTACAGGTTCACGTATCTAGGAGCCCATTTTTTAAATTTTTACTTCGTTTAAACGCACCTTTTACGTCAAAGTGACGTTGCCAGTGGTGTACTAGCTAGAATAGGTAGATTAAAATTAAAATATCAAAATATTTTACAAAATGAAAAATATAGAAAACAGTTTTCTGAATAAAATGGATTATGATCTTAATAACGAAAATAAAGAAGTCTTTTTTTTTAATATGCATTTTATTTTAAACCTATTTTATATTAAATAACGATAAACAATGATAAATAATAATTAATATTTGGTGGAAGCCCCATTCTTGTCAATACAATTTTGCAGTCTTCTGTTCATAGATAGCACCAATCCCCTCATGTTATAGTTAACAAGCTCTTCCCATGCCTGCTCAATTGCTTCCCATAATTCAATTCTATTCCGTGGTCTAAGGTTTCTTTCATTTAGTTTCTTTGTTAACTCTGCCCACACATTTTCGACGGGGTTAAAGTCTGCACTACGGGAAGGCCACGGAAGAACATTAACATCAGTTTCTTCTAGCCATTCTCGAACAATTCTACTCGTATGCACCGGGCAATTGTCATGTTGGAAGATAAAGTCGTTGTTGGGGAATCTCTGGATCACCGATGGCAACATTGTGTGCTCAATAATATGTTTGTAATATAATCCTGTTAACTTCTCCTCTACATGATAACAAACGCACGGGCCTTCGGCACTTATCCATCCCCATACGTTGACAGAGAATCCTCCACTATTTCTTAAATGATGCGTATACTGTTCATCATACCTATGATTTCTCGGCCTATAAACTCTTATTCGACCATTATTATACGACTGAAATACTTTTTCATCGGAAAATACAACCCTAGACCAAAAATTCTCATCGCGGTTTATAAATTCATTACAAAATTCAACTCGTCTCCTCTTGTGATCCTCAGTCAAAAAAGGTTTCCGTGCAGCTACACAATTTAGCAGTCCACTTGCTTTAATTCTTCGACGTGCAGTGCGAATACTGCCTGGAAACGCTGCCTCTTGTCTTGCCTTTTGAGCTGTGGCAAAAGGAGATTCTCTCAAATAATCTACTAACATCTCATCCTGTTGATCTGTGGAAATCTTCTGCTCTCCTGAACCGCCCAACCGTGCTATAGAGTGAAAATTATCCCATCTTTGTTTAATCTTCCATATGCACATATGACTCACGTTCAAATCAGCAGCAACTTGCCTTAGTGACCAACCTTCTTCGAGTTTGGCAATTGCTCTTGCTTTTTGCGCATAATTCAAATGTATTCTAACCATTTTGGAAGAGTTTAATATACTTTTATTTTATTGTTGAACACTCGCGAAAGCATTGACGTTTTGAAATTTTTTGACTTTGACATTTATCAAATCCGTACGACACTGCAATTTTACAGTATTACAATATAAAAAGTAAGGTGTAAACTATTCCGTGACCGCAACTGTACATAATAATTTTCGAAATATACCTAACCCATTCTTCGTGCATATTCCGATTTTCTAGCGTCTCCAAAACTTCTGGAAAAAATCAATGAATAAGCCTCACCGAGCTGCGAAACCCATCACTAGTTGGGCTATTTATCTATATGTGACCCGGATCACTTCTGAATTTCAATTGAAAGCCGCAGAGACAATTCGAGTTTGTAAACTACTAGAACATTTGAAAAATTTCTGGCTGAAGAGTGGTACTAATCAAGTACTCACTAAACCAAACTCATTATGAAGTAAACTCGCTAGCCCGCTGAGCTATTAAGCCGAAATCATTCTGCTTCTTCTTCTGCAATCTAAAATGGTAATCTGTATTTTGCATACTGTTATGGAATACTATGCGTTTATTTCTTCTCCGGACTAACTCTTTGTTTTGGAATTAAACAGAATATATTGACATGTATAAATTTATTATATTAGAGGATGAAAATTACACTGCCTGTTATTTCTTAAAACTATGAATTTATAAGTTCTGTTATCTACAATTATTTAACGATGTTTCTGGATGGATTTGAGTACAAGAGATTGGACTCAAATATTAATATTAAAATAGCAAATACGGATAGCTTATCGAACAAAGAAATAAGAGAAATAAATTATTATTATTCCATAGATACGAAGTATTAGGCGAATAAACTAGCGAAACTTATTTATTCTAAATAGGAAAATATTTATGAAGAGTATTGATTCTGATTTCTAACAGCAAATAATTATTAGTGATTATACATGAGAACTTTTCATAATTGTAAATAACATATACCAGGTGACTAAAAACTATATAGAAATACATAGATACTTTAATTATCTTACATGTGAGTAGGTAGGTACATTACACCTCCTTTTGTAAGAATGAAAATAATTGTAAAATGAATTTTCATTTAAATGGTATAAAACATTTGTATACATTATTATTTTATTTTAACACATTTAAATAGTTTCTTTTAGTCTCGATAGTCTTTCACTTCGTCTTATCGGTGTAGTCTCTGTGAAACTAGTCTCTTCACACTTTTTGGATTCACTATAATTATTGTCTTTATTATGTTTACAATCTATACTTAAATCTGTCTCATGTACATGTTTTCGTTTACTTTGACATATATTTAGTGTTAAACAATTTGTAATTTGTTGACAACTATGTGACGGATTTCTACGAAATCGTCGGTAAAAATATTTAATTATCCTGTATAAAATATAAAGTAACATACATTTTATCAAAAATAAGATTGCATAAGTGAAATAAGAACTATTTTTTATTGTGTCTGAAAAATTAATATTTGTTTCTGAGGTCATTTTCTCTAAATTATCTAGTTT